ATATTTTAAAAATTGAGTGAGATATAAAGTTTTAAAGATCTGAAGTAAGGTTCAGTTAAGTCTGGCTTCCTGTAGCCCGGAAAAAAATTTCGTCTAATGAAAGAGCACAGTAAAAAGTAAATCTTAATTTAAGAGCTGCCTTAAATTCAACACTGTCTGCTATAATGTTAAAGGATACGAAAAACTTGCGTAAATTTAACATTGACTGTCTTAAAAATGTTGCATCTTAATTTAAGGCAGCTTTCGTGCCTTAAAATAAGATTTTCTTTTTACTGAGAGTATGATAAAACTTTAAACTCGTTTTTCTTAAAACAGCATTTTGAAAATCGGTGATCGCACTATTTCTCAAACCTACTGCACTGAATCTCCGATTTTTCTTGAGTTTAGTGCCCACTAAACTCAAGAAAAAAATACATAAAAATCTACTCCTCACATCAATAGAATAATATTTTTTTTAAGAAAGGGGTCGTCCATAAAGCATGTGATATTTGAAGGAGAAGGGGGGGTCTATAAAATATCATGCTTCATATTAATCATTAATGGAAAAAGCATCAAGATGGGGGGGGGTTAAATTTCGTAAATTAAGTATGCTTTATGGATGACCCCAAACAATATTTTTTTACAGCTGAGAACCCACAGCATTTTTTTATCTTTTACTTTAACTAAATTCGTTTGAATTTTGTATTTGGTGGATTCCCCGTCAGTTCAACACACTAATTTTTATGACTTGTTGGGATTTGGCTGCAATTTTGTAAATTTATTACTTTTATAGTGATAAACAACACCACCAAATATTTTTTCAAAATTTTAAAAATTACCAAAAATATGGCATTTTTAAAATTTTTGTCATTTTTTTTTTAAGTGCCATAACTTTGGTTTTAATAAACCGATTTTAGATTTTAAAAAAAGGATTTTTTTGGTTTTAAGTATATTTTAAGTTAAAATAATTATAAAAAAAAATTCAAAAAATATTTTTTTTTTGAAATTTTGAAAAATTAAAAATCCGTTTTTGAAAAAACATCATCTTCGATTTTTTTCAAAATTTTACTAAATGTTAAGGCAAATGTGCTTTACATGTCCTGTAAGTTTTATCTTGGGATCTCAAAGGGATTCGGAGTAAAAAAATAAAACGTAACCACATATTACGAATGTATGGGGCAAAATTCCTGAACTACCCAGGTAAAAAAATGAATTTTCTCTAAACTTTGCTAAAATGTTACTATTATTAGTGGAAGTATAAATATTAATTTTTTTTTAATTTGATAAAATATTTTTTGATTTATGGAGTTTCAAAATTTTGATTTATGCATATAATTTATAAACAATATTATAAATATATCCCGTGTGAAAATTGAATCTGGGCTCTAGCCGTGCCATGGCCGGGGAGCCCGACTTAAAGTTGGGCGCTAGTCGTGTTATGGGAAGGGATCATAGACGTAACCTGGGCACTTATCGGGCTTCTGGCTGGATCCCAGCCAGAATTGATACACCATTTTATTCGGTGGCTATTTGGGCGAAATCTAAGAGCACTCTACTAGGGCCTGACTAATATTATAATGGTTTTTTGAAAATTATTTTTTTTAACTAATTCGTAATTAAACTTGTGTTTTATATGCAAAAACAAATTGAAATGTCAAATTGACATCCTGGAACAATAACTGCTCGCACTAGGTTTTAAAAAAGCAACCTCTTCAAAGAAGACTTGCTCAAATTTCAATTTTATTTTTAAAAGAAAAAGTAAGCTATTCAATGCACAGGAAATGTTTGGAAAATTTTTTGTTTTTATGTCTTTGGTTTCCTGAAAATTAAAAGGTTAAAATAATAATGTGAAATTATTCATCTTTTTTATAACTGTCATTTTTGAGGGTTAAAAAACTTTATCTTTTTTTTATAACCAATAAGATTAGAATTCGAAGCAGAAATAGAAGAATAATTTCAACTGTAAAAAAAAAATATTCTGAAGAATTTTCAAACAAGATAATTTATCGAGGTAAAAATATAATTTACACATAAACTTTGTTTAAGTTTTTGTAACCTAAACAATTATTCTGTTAAACCTTTTGCATAATTGAATTTTACTTTGCTAAACTTTTACACATATTTTTTTCTTTTAATATAAAATACACGTTTATAAACACAAACAGTATTAATTTTCTATATTTTATTGTTAATCAGCTGTGTAGTTTGACAGAAAATAATTAAATTTTGAAAAGTTCAAAAATTTTATATGATCTACATTTAAATAATTGAAATATAATTATAATTTAATTTAAATATAATTTTCTATTTTTTTTATATTTTCTATATTTAAATGTTTTCTATTTTTATATATTTATTGTATGTTATTGTGTCAAATTTGTTAACTGAAAATTTTTGTTTGTTATTTTGAAGTCAAAATAAAAAAATTCCAGTTTTCAACTAAAGATGCAGATTCAGTGGCAGGTAAAAACTTTATTAATATAAAAAAAGAAATTCTGGATTAAGAAATATTACTTTTATGTCAAGATTACGTGAAATTTTACGTGAAAAATTAGTCCATCTAGCCCCTGACCAGAAACCGACTTCTATTCGGGCGAACTTGGGCTTTTTCCACACGGGATAGGATTTTATGTTTTATTAATTCTGTCCTATCTTTTGTAGCCTTAATAAAATAAAAATAAAAATAATAAAATAGTACCTGTTAAGTACCTTGTACGTAACAATCCACCATGGAAATTTTCTGTTTTCGTCCCCGAGAACTTTTTGCTCAAAAGATAAGACAGAAACCACGTAAAACATATATTTTATGTTTTTTTAACGAAAATTTTATATATATATATATATATATATATATATATCAATTTAGTGAACATACATTTCGAAATGTTTGTCATAGATCAAAGAAATTTTTTTTTTATTCAATTTACTTCTCAACTATAGTTTTGCACGTCTAGTCGGTAAAAAAGTCAGGTAAAAAAATGAATTTTCTCTAAACTTTGCTAAAATGTTACTATTATTAGTGGAAGTATAAATATTAATTTTTTTTAATTTGATAAAATATTTTTTGATTTATGGAGTTTCAAAATTTTGATTTTTTTGAAAATATCTTTTTTCAATTTAATATATTGATAAGTAAAATTAATCAAATTTAAAGTATGAATAGTGATTTTTATAGGGGTTTTCACGGGCTATAAGCTGGTGACCTTTTTTCTATGAGCCATGTAAAAATCAGAGTGGAACCATGAGAATTTTTAAAGAAGATAATAATTTATCATTATTTTACATAGAAAATGATGATTTATAATTAATTTCTTCAAACAGTTCGATGGTCTCACTCTGATTTTTACATCGCTCATATGAAAAAAGGTAAGCTTTCGATTGGGATAGGTTGCAAAAAAATAAAAAACACCGATTTTAAGATACAGTAGAACTTGGTTAATACGATTCTGTAGGGACCGCACTAAGAATACGTCTTATGCGGGAAAACATATTAGGCGGGATATAAAATGTATGTCTTTAATTGCAGGGACCACCATAAATGAGCGTATTAAGCGGGAAGTCGTATTAACCGGGTTCTACTCTTTATTGAAATTAAGAATTTGACCTTGAATTTCAAGGTCAAATTAAAAGAAAACAACTTTTTTTTATCACCAGCTTCTAGCCCGTGAAAACCCTTTTAAAAATCACTATTCATACTTTAAATTTGATTAATTTTACTTATCAATATATTAAATCGAAAAAAGATATTTTCAAAAAGATCTAAATTTTAGAACTCCATAACTCAAAAAATATTTTATCAAATTCAAAAAAAATTAATATTTACACTTCTACTAATAATAGTAACATTTTAGCAAAGTTTAGAGAAAATTCATTTTTTTACCTGGGCAGTTGATATATATTCGTAATATGTTGTTACGTTTTATTTTTTTACTCCGAATCCCTTTGAGATCCCAAGATGAAACTTACAGGACATGTAAAGCATTAATTAACATAATGTTAAAAGCTTTATTTGGGTCCTTAATAACGTTTTTCTTTCAAAAGCATCAATTTGCACTTTTTAATTTTTCAACGCATATTTAGAAAAAATTTGTATAAAATTGTACTTTAACATTTAATTATTTTCATAAATAATAATATTTCACAGCAATTCAATTATTAACAAATTTTTTATAAATTTCTTCGCAATAATTCAATTAACCACTTCACTGGCAGGGCGTTCCAAATGGCGTTCCACGCGCCGAGGCCCAGACTGGCAAAAACACCGAAATGGCGTTCCTAATAAAACTTTATTTTTAACTTCTACAAAGCAATATTTCTATAGTTTAGACGTCACAGAACAAGATTATCACAAAAAAAGTTTCAGTTTTTGAGATTTTGAATGTTTCTTCGAACGTTGAAATACTCAATTTACCACTTTTCAACAAATGGCGTTCCACTTTTTTTCAATTTTTACGCAGTAAAACTCATATTTTTTATTTTTAAAAAATGTATTTATATACAATAATATACCCACATAGCACAATAGTATGAGGTAAGGTTATGTTGAGTACTAATCGTAAGGCTCATAAGGTTACACGATATTGCTGTGGTAGACCTGAGGTGAACTAAAAACTTCCGCCATGGAGGTAAGGTTACATGTTAGAGTGTGGTAAGTATATATGATAAGGCTATGGTAACCTTACACGTTAAGGTTGAGATAACCTTACACGTTAAGGTTGATGTAACCTGACACGTTAAGGTTGAGGTTACGTTACACGTTAAGTTTGAGTTAAGGTTATATGTCAAGGTTGAGGTAAGGTAATTATTAAGTTTAAGGTTGAGGTAAGGTTAAGGTAAGGTTGAGATAAGTTTACCAGTTATGGAAAATATTGACAAAATAATTAATAATATAATAAATAAATATTAAATTAGAAAGTTAAGTTTGTTGCTCTTCTCTATTTTGGAAACCTGACATGAAGCAGAAAATTTTGAAAACAAATTTGGGGGGACTGGGATTCGAACCCGGGATCGACGCGCATAAACCTAATGGAGAGTCCACAATAGGTGCAAATGCTAGGCTAGTGCAAGTACAAGTACAAATGCTAGTGTCACAGAGTTGGACTTGGTTGCGCGCGCACGGTGCCAACTGTTGCGGAGTTCGTGAAAAAAGTTTTTCCTTTTGGTTTTGAAACTTCGCCGTTAACAGCCGTTAAGTAGTAAAATAATCGCGTGATTACGATTTTTTTGACAAATTTGTCTTAATTTGACACCGCCCAGCACTTATTAATTAAATTATTTATATTCTTACGCATTTTCAGCAAGTAAGTAATTATTTTTTTTACTAAAATTTTAAATTACCTCACCAAAGTCACAAAATATTATAGGTTATGTTTACTATATTTAGATTTTATTAATTTTTTTATTATTATTAAAGTTATTTAATTATTAAACTAATGTTCTTATAACCTCTGAAATATTTAATAAATATTATTTTTATAAAATTAAAACGAAATATCTAATCGAAATAAAAAAATTACGTTCATAAACAGAATAATTTTTTCTATATACTCTTTTCTTCAGTCACATGCATATTTTTAAACATTTTTGCTAGATAATTAATAAAAATTACGAGAGTAGTACAAATTTCTATTTTTTGAAAATTTTGGTACTTATTTAAAAATTTTTAGTTAATTAATTTTTTTTTATTTTTCGAAACATATTATAATTTAAAAAACCAAAATTTGTTAGAAAAATAATTAACCAACCATAAACAACTAAAATTCAGATGAGTTGAAATTTCAGAGGTCCCTTCCGTAATTGCGACTTTTCCAAACAAATTTTAGAAATTTTTTCACTAATTTTGTTTTTTACAGACTATGGAGGATCTAAACAGCCTGTTGATAAGATTAGTGCAGAACCATCCGATAATTTACGATAAAGCCTCGAAGCATTATAAGAATAATTTTAAAAAAAAGGAAGCTTGGGAACAAATTGTTCTCGCGTTCAATACAAAAGTTAGAAGCGACATAACAGGTATATAAATAATTTTTATTAATTTTAAAGAACTGTATAAAAATAATTAAACAAAATAGTTTTGAATTAAAAATCATACTTTAAATTTTAAGTGAAATTTAACATTTTGAAACATAAAAGTAGTTATTCATAAATTACACAGCCACACAAAAAAATAAAGTGTCTTGATCTGAGGTCGAGACATATGTATTCCGATGTATTTCGATGCGCTGAATCCGAATCCGCCATCAGAATTTGGCCAATGGGTCCTGGTTTCGCCCTAACCTCAAAAAATACCCTAAAATCGCTAAAATGGTCACTTTTGATTTATCAAAATTGAATCTAACCGCATGTTGATAATATTCTAAGATCCCTTAATTTAAATTAACTATTCTATAAGCTTTTCAATTGAAAATTCCTATAAAACATTAAATCTATCGAACCTAATCTCAAAAACACATCTAAGATTCCAAACAAACAAATTATACCATACACAGCACAATAAAAATTATGTAAGCTCATGAAAGTTACAACTTAGGTGTTTTTATGATTGCTGATTACGAATCCGGTGTTAGTTTATCAAAATTCAAAATGGCGGATCCAATATGGCGAACAATATAATTAAAATTTGTTTGGATTGGCTTAAAAATCGTTACTCGGGGGTTTTCGGGGTCGCTGATGACGAATCCCATGTCGGTTTCTAAAAATTCAAAATGTCAGATCCAATATGGCGGTCTTTATTATTTTAACGATTATTTTAAATTTATTACTCGCGGAATTTTTCGGGACATTAGATAACGAATCGTATATAAATTTTTATAATCTTAAAGTCTTACGAATTGTTAGAAAACAATTATTAGAAATTTAGTGAAATGGAAATTTTTTGACAAAAAAATTTTTGTACCCGGTTGTAGGCACCCTTGAAAAATCCGCTAAAAATGGAAAAATATTACAAGAAACCAACACAAATAAAGAAGAAATAAAAGTTTATTTATTTTAAGAGACTTCGCCGGAATAAAGAACAAAAATGATGACACGTTTTCACACTATGCTCATCGCTAACAGAAGCATAATGCTACCATGTGAAGTAGCTGGCCCGCATATCATAACGCACTTCTAATGCACTGAACGACTATATTCATCGCATTTAATGGAGTTTTCGGCTGTCAATTTCCTTGGCAGAAAGTTTAGATAGATGAGTCAGTAGTCCACATCATTGTCAGTTGGTAGAGCCTCCTTAACATAAAGGTGCCCACAACCGGGAATGACAGTCATTTTTTAAAAAGACTGATGCAGGATTTTGGTTAAACACGAAGGTAAATCACAAAATATAATGACAACACTGCAAAAAAAAATTAAACCCTTTTTTCTGAACGAATCTACAGATTCTACACCCATATGTTGCTCTTTGAAAACAATACAAAATTACTCTTTTATTTATTTAATGCAAATTTTCTTTATTATGCTCTCAGCTATTACACGAATGCATATATTTGTTTCGTTATTAATACAAAAAGTCCGTATTGTCAACGAACACGACTAGCAATACTTAGATCAGTAAAGTCTGCTTGCCGTCGAAGTTTACGTAGAGGTGCCCACAACTGGCGCACTTCAGCTAATAAATTTAAAATAATCGTTAAAATAATAAAGACCGTCATATTGGATCAACCATTTTGAATTTTTAAGAACCGACATGGGATTCGTCATCAGCGGCCCCGAAAACCCCCGAGTAACGATTTTCAAGCCAATCCAAACAAATTTTAATTATATTGTTCGCCATATTGGATCCGCCATTTTGAATTTTGATAAACTAACACCGGATTCGTAATCAGCAATCATAAAAACACCTAAGTTGTAACTTTCATGAGCATACATAATTTTTATTGTGCCGTGCATGGTATAATTTGTTTGTTTGGAATCTTAGATGTGTTTTTGAGATTAGGTTCGATAGATTTAATGTTTTATAGGAATTTTCAATTGAAAAGCTTATAGAATAGTTAATTTAAATTAAGGGATCTTAGAATATTATCAACATGCGGTTAGATTCAATTTTGATAAATCAAAAGTGACCATTTTAGCGATTTTAGGGTATTTTTTGAGGTTAGGGCGAAACCAGGACCCATTGGCCAAATTCTGATGGCGGATTCGGATTCAGCGCATCGAAATACATCGGAATACATATGTCTCGGCCCCAGATCAAGACACTTAATTTTTTTTGTGTGGCTGTGTTATTGTATAGAAAAACTAATTTTTTTAGAACAAAATACCAGGGTTGCTGCGGTTTCAGTATATAAAAATTGCCTGACTTTTTCAGGATTTGCAGACCATTTTTCTTAAAATTACCTGACCAAATTAGTTAGTTATTGTTTTATTCTTTGATTCCTCACATGTTTAATATTTTTTCTTTTTAAATATTTTCAATTTTAAAATTAATGTATTGGACATCATTGAATTCTTGCATAAAGAATTTTATCAAAAAATTTTAGAATAATTCAATTCCTTCGGAGAATTTTATGATTTATAAGAATAATTTAATTATTGTGAAGAATTTTATGAAAATGATTGATAATTCAAATTAAATTGTTTAAAAAATTTGTTTCAATTTTTTTTAAATGGATTTCTTTTATAATTTTAATTGATAATTTTCAAAATAATTTAATTTCATCAACGATTTCTTTCAAGTTTATAAAATAATCGTGTTTCTTAATAATTGAATTTAATTAAAATTTGTAGAAAATTATTGATTATGTCAATTTTTTTAAAAATTATAATTAATAATTATAATGTAAACATTTATTAAAATTTTTCTAAAAAATTAAACTCTTTTAAACAATTTTATTTGAGATGTGGGTCAAACCATTTTATTTCGCCTAATGTATTTTTGACCTTCAGAAAAAATTTCAATACTTCGGGAAAATATTCTTACATGTTTTGGGATTACGAAATGCACAATGATTTGTAAAAAATAATTTCATTTCATATAAAAAAAGATATTATAAATTGAGAGTACATGAAAAAAGGTTACATTGACAGGCATTACAAAATATTTAAAAAAGGAGTAATCTCTTTAAGAAATATAAAAAAAGCGATTGCTATTTATTTTTAAAGACTTAATTTGTGATTTGAACTTGATAAAAGTATCAAATGATTTATAATAAACTGTAAAATATGTTATTTAAGTTTCTGTATGAAATGTCAAAAATCGATCATATTTAACAATTTTTTTTGACAAAGTCATTTAATTTTCGTAAATCAGAATTATTTAAATAATAAGTATTTTAAATACACTTTATTATTATTTAAATACTTTTTTGATTATCAACTGAGAAATATAAAAAAATTTACCTTAAAAATGAACCATTCTTCTTTTTATCGGGATTTTGAATGTTTGTAACTTCGTTGGAGAAAACCCGATTTATGCCAAATTTTTGGAGCATGTTGATTGAAACAATATCTTCCTGCTACTAAAATTTCGCGATGGGTTTTGCACAAGTTTTCAAAAAAAATTGATTTAAAAAAAGTGTTTATTTTGAAGGTTAATGACAAGTATTATAGCTGACTTGAAGTTGGTTCGCTACTTGCAATAAAAGTCAAATTCAAAATAAAACGATTTTTTTAAAGTCAGTTTAAAACAAACCAACTTCAAGTCAGCTATAATACTTGTCATTAACCTTCAAAATAAATACTTTTTTTAAATCAATTTTTTTTGAAAACTTGTGCAAAACCCATCGCGAAATTTTAGTAGCAGGAAGATATTGTTTCAATCAACATGCTCCAAAAATTTGGCTTAAATCGGGTTTTCTCCAACGAAGTTACAAACATTCAAAATCCCGATAAAATGAAGAATGGTTCATTTTTAAAGTAAATTTTTTTATATTTCTCAGTTGATAATCAAAAAAGTATTTAAATAATAATAAAGTGTATTTAAAATACTTATTATTTAAATAATTCTGATTTACGAAAATTAAATGACTTTGTCAAAAAAAATTGTTAAATATGATCGATTTTTGACATTTCATACAGAAACTTAAATAACATATTTTACAGTTTATTATAAATCATTTGATACTTTTATCAAGTTCAAATCACAAATTAAGTCTTTAAAAATAAATAGCAATCGCTTTTTTTATATTTCTTAAAGAGATTACTCCTTTTTTAAATATTTTGTAATGCCTGTCAATGTAACCTTTTTTCATGTACTCTCAATTTATAATATCTTTTTTTATATGAAATGAAATTATTTTTTACAAATCATTGTGCATTTCGTAATCCCAAAACATGTAAGAATATTTTCCCGAAGTATTGAAATTTTTTCTGAAGGTCAAAAATACATTAGGCGAAATAAAATGGTTTGACCCATGTTATAAATTATTAAATTCCTTTAAAGAATTTCTATAAGTGTTTTTGAAAATGTAGTTTTTTAAATTAATTTTAAGTAAAACTCTTAAAAATAAATTATTTAACAAAGAATTTTTTCAACTTTTTAAATTAATCGTTACTATTTTTTATTTAATTCTTGCGATAAATTTTTCTAAATACTTATAAAAATATTTGAAATGTTTCGAAAAATTTATTGAAACATTAGAAAATAATTAAATTTTTTTGGAAAATTTTATAACGAATTAAGGAAAAAATTGTATTGTTTTCAAGAATTTATTAAAATTTCTGAACATAATTGAATCTTTTCGAAAATTATTCTTAAAAATTAAAAACAATTAATTATAATCTTATTCTAATTAAGTATTAAAAATTAAGTTTAAATGAAATATAATTTTTTAAAATTACTTTCAGTTTTTCCTAATTAAGATTTTGAGAATAAATTTTGTGATATTTTTGAAAGAAAAATTTGAAAGTTACTTTATTTTTAAAAAATTTTGCATTAGTAAATTATAATAATAATTTTTGTACCTTTTATAATTTTAAATCTGAATTAAGTTAGTTTCAGTGCATTTTATTTTATTGCAGCTGATCAAGCATTCAAAAGATGGAAAAAATTAAAAGACATTTTTGTGAAGGAAAGAACAAAAATTAAAGCATATATTCCATCAGGTTCGTCTGCTCAATGCCATACAGAAAAATGGATGTACTACGACGAGTTGATTTTTTTAAAAGATATCGTCGATCACAAAAGGTTAGAATTAAATAATTTTTTTCTTAATTTCCTGTATAAAAATTTCCTGTATTTAATCTGCTGTATAAATCATAAAGTCAATTTTTTTTAATAACGGAAATAATCATTTACTTTCAGTACTGTTAGTAGTTTCCAAAGACCAAATGAGCACCTAGAAGAAGGTGAAGATGAAGAACATGAAGAAGAAGGTGAAGTTCAAATACAGGAAGAAGAAGGAAGAGAAGTGTTCGATGATGCAGGTGAATTTTAAAGTGGTATGGTGGTATAATTAAGTGTCAATTTTTAAAAAATGAAAATAGTTTATTAATGACAGGCTTCTCACTCATCTATTTGAAAATATGCTTATTTGTTTAAAAAAATGATTTAATTTAAAAATTTTTTTAAACAAATAAGCATATTTTCAAAACTGTGTATTTGTCTTTAAATCTGAGCGGTCAATTTTTTTAGATTATAATTGAATATTGAATGAATAATATAGTTAAATTTTGTTAAAATAAATGTTATGTTCTTTAACAAAATTCTTGTTTCAAAAAACTATATTTATATAATTTAAATTTTTAAAGAATTCTAAATAAAAATCTGGAAAATAATTGTTTTTTTATAAAAAATTAGAATTGAAGTTATAATCTGGATAAGAAAAAAAGTGATTTTTTATTTTAAATGAGAAAAATGTCGGGTAATACTCAGAATAAAATTTTTGTAAATTAACTCAAACGAGTTTATTAGTCATCATATTTATAATTTTGAATAGCTACTTTTTTCAGTCTTAAAACTACTTTTTGCTATTTTTTAAAATTAAGTATTGAGTGGGAGCCTTTAATGAAATCATGGAAATTCATTCATACATTTCCATAAAAAGATTTTTATTATTTTTGTTTTGAAACTCGATTTAAATAAAAGTTGATTGCTTGCTTTAAAAAAAAACTATATGAAGCATGTTTAATTTTCTATTTTCAGATATCTTCTTTTACTTTCCTCTCAATGCACCATCTTCTTCTCCGACCCAGATAGAATATTCTGAACCAGACGAATCATCACTTCAAAAAAATAATATTAAAATTGAGCGATTGATTGTGATAAAAGATATATGGGACAACATCCCTCAAAATCAAAAAGTAAATTGTTATAAAGAATTAAGTCAGTTAATGAAAGAAGGATAATCCTTATTAATTTTAAATGAAATAAAAACACATTTCGAAGTAAATGAAACAAATTTATTTACCGTAGAAATTATTTAAAGTAGGGGAGAGGGCCCCAAGGTGGTCAGGGCCCTAAGGTGGTCACCCTAAGAAAATTGTTGTATATTAGTTAGTATCTTCAAATGTTTTTTGTTATTGTCATTATTTGAGAAGGCAAAGATTTTAGTAAAGTTTTGAGGTAAATAATCGTATGAGTCTCTTTGTAACGTGAACGTCGTGAAATTTCTGTTTTTAAATGATCGAGAAATTTTTTTCTCAGGGTGTTAAAATCATCGAAATTAACCATTTTTAATTAGTAAAAATCGTTATAATTATCTTTATATATCGTACAATAGTATTCCAAATGAATATAATTAATATTGTGCTTTAAAAAATTTTTTCATTAACGTTTAAAAAATTGTGTCTTGGCCCTAAGGTGGACACTTTTTTGGCCCCAAGGTGGTCACTTTTGATTTTTTATGAAAATGTGCTTATACGCTATATTTATCAACATTTATCACTGTGAATGTGAATTTTATCAATTTTTAAGTTTTATGATGAATAATAATGAAATAGAATTATTTTCATAATTTTACCTGACTAATACATACACAAAAAGTATCATTTTTGAAGAAAGGACAAAGTGCAAAAAAATATTATGTAATATGTTTCTGTCATCCTGAAAAACAATTAATATTAAATAAACAACTTAATAATACGTTTTTTTACATTTTTTTAAAACTTTTTTAGTGAATTTTTGTATGGTGACCACCTTGGGGCCACTTTTTTAAAAGTCGAATTTTCAACTTTTTTTAAAAAGTGCCATAACTTTTTTTTTATTAATGAAATGAAAAAAACTTCATGATAGGAAGTTAGGTGATAAGATAAAGTTTCAAACGCCGTATTATTGACCTTTATATATAATTCCATTAGAAATCTACAGTCGTTTAAAAGATGGGTGACCACCTTAGGGCCCTCTCCCCTATTCTTTTCAAGTAAGAAAAATAATTTTTGGTTCTGTTTTTACTAATGAATTATAATAACTTATAATTTCTCTGAAATATTTAGAAAATATAATTGAATAATAATATATAATTTGTCAAATTTTTAAATATTCAGTTTTGTTTGTAAACAAAATAAACTGTTTATGGCTATTAGTGTATGAAAATAATAAATTTGTTAGTGTGAATAGTGAAAATTCACTTAACTTAAAATTAACTTAAACTTCAACATTAAATAGCGCGTCAATAGTAGTTAAATATCTATAAAATATAATTGAATAACATTATATAATTTGATATATTTCTAAATATTCAAATTTCTGTTTTTAAACATAATAAAAACTTTTTATGATATGTATCAAAATAATACATTTTTTAGAATAGTTAAAATTCACATAACTTAAAATAAACTTCAACTTCAAAATTAAATAATATACCAATTATTTAAAAACGATCCTTTCTGTCAAATTTTAATTTTGATTAACAAATATTGAAATCAGCAAAATGCAGTACATATTTCAAAACTTATTAAATTTTATAAAATATAACAGAAAATTGTGGTTCTTTGGCAAGTGGATAACCATTAGCACACACTTTAACCTTTAAAATTACCTGTGATATTTATTATTGTTGTAATTTAATAATTATTTGAGAGATACTTAACATTTAACAGAAAAAATTAATGACGAAGGGGGGCATTTTCAAACGAGTAATGTAAATAACATTTGTCGTAAAAAGCACACAGCGAAATAGTGCATCTAATCTTTTTTATATTTCAGCAAGATATCTAAGACTCTGTCCATTAAATCCTTCTGTTTATTTTCTTCAATCTGCATCTAGTCATTTGCACATAAATTAAAGAGAGCATCTCCACGAGGGACAGGAGTATCAGTCTTCTGCAACTGTTTTTGTAAGACTAATTGTTTCGTTTTCGCGAATTGAGTAAATGCATTTGACATTTCTTGAAAATTTTCAGACGTGCGCAAGATTGCTTCGTTAATACTGGACATTTCATTTTGCCTTTTGGCACATTTTTCTTTTGCAAATCGATCTATCGGCGGTAACTTATTAGCTTTACTAGTCAACTGAGTTTTAGGAATATCTTGTATTCGAGTGTATTGTCTCATTTTGGGAGCTGTAGGGAATGCATCAAATGCATTAGGTTTATCAGGCATTACTTTTCTTTTTAAATTTCGATTTAATGATTGCTTTTGGAGTTGATGAGAAGTCGTAGAAATAATATGCGGTTGAGAAATCGTGGAAGAATTTTTTGAAGAATCCCCAAATTGTAAGGTTGCTGATGTGGATGGTTCTTGAAGTTGAGAAAATGTTGCAAAAGGATTTTGAAGTGCAGAAATCGACAATGAATTTTTTGAAAATCCTCTTAATTGTGATTGAAATTCATCTTCTGTGGAATGTAATTGTGAATTAACTTGCGATTCGAATAATTCTGACTGTTGTCGACATGAAGAATTGCCACTTTGAAAATCATCTTCATTTGGCAAAGTTGAATATTGTGAAGGCAATAATGAAGATTGTGATTGCGAAAAAGTGGAAAACGATTGATGAACTGGAGAAATTTGTGAGAATGACGACGTTTGTAAAAAATCTGAAGCTTGTGATATCACATTATCGTCATCAACTGTAATAACTTCATCCTCAAAATATAAGACATCGTAATTCGAAAATGGTTTTTGGTCAGTTGCTTCGTTATCTTCTAATAAATTATGAAAATTAACATTTTCCGCATCAGTTGAGGATTTCTCTGCATCATTATTTCCATCTGATGATCTCTCCCCAAGAGCTGCAAGACGGTGAAGACATTTCAACATCTATAAAAAATACACATTTTTCGATTATATATTTTATAATGATTCAATTAATTTTAAAAAAATATTTAATTGCACACCTGACACTGAAAGATGAGTATTTTTTGCATTAGGAACAGTTTGAAGTCCGGAAGATCCAGGATTTTTGAATGATTTAATTCTGCTGTGCTGAACTAAAAATTGAAGATCATAATATAAGTACCAACTGGAATTGCATTTTTTATAATGTCCATTAAAAGATCTTCTTCATTGGTTCCACCTCTTCTGCGGATCTGTAAATTAAATAAAATTTGTTATAAAATTTTGCTCATTTCAAATTCCCTGACTTTTCCAGGTGTTCCAGGCAGGGCTCGAAGAAGTGAAAGTATTTAAAAATACGGACTTTACGGACCAACTGACAAAAATAGAATCAGGGCGAATCAAATAAGAGAATATTTTACTTAAAACCAGAAATTCAGTTTTTCATAACTAAAAAACATGAAGAAATCGAGAACTCCGAGTCTTCGACTCGAAGTCATCGTTTTCTTCACGTTTTATAATAATTAATAATAATTATTAATAAAAATAATTTATAATAATTAAAATCATTATCAATTCAATTATTATTTTTAAGAATTTTTATCTAAAACTATTCTTTATATCGAATGTTATTAAAATTTTCAAAAATAATTAAATTCTTGTAAAAATTAACAGGAATTCAATTATTTAAAAAAATTTTTAATAAAATTCTTGGCATCAATTAAAAATAACAAAGATCTTATCAGATCTTCAATTACTTTCAGAAATTTTAATAACATTTTTCGCAAGAATTTAAATATTTTTCGTAAAATAATAAAAATCTTTGCAGAGATTCAATTATGTACTTTCAAAAGTCTTAATAAAATTCTTCGCAACTATTCAATTATTTTCAAAAATATCTGAATTTTAGCAGAAATTCAAACATTTTAAAAAAGTTTTGATAACATTTTTTTTAGTACAAATTTAATTATTTTTAAGACAATTTAAAAATAATGTCTCGATAAAATTCAATTATTTTTAAAATTTTAATGAAATTCTTTGAAAGAATTCAATTATTATAATCTAAGATTTTAACTGAAATCTATTTTTAAATCAATATTTATGAGAAAATTCTACCAGAATACAATTATTTAAATACAAAACCAAATAATTTATTGAATAATTGAATTTTTTCTTGGAAATCAATTTCTATTAAAAATTTTGTCAACAAATTTTTAAATAATTAAATTATTTGGACGAATTTTAATAAAATTTTTAAGAATTTTTTCGAGGAATTAAAAAAATTCTATTGAAAATAATTGAATTCCTAAAAAGAATTTTATTACTTTGGAAAATAATTGAAATTTTTCAATGGATTTTATTAAAATTTTTGATATTTTTTATTACTTTAAAAATAATTGAAATTTGTCGAAGAATTTTGCTATTTATTTATAAAGATAATTGAGATGTTGACCGTTTTTAATAGATTTTTTGAAAATAATTGAATTTCGGAAAAGAATTTTAATATTTCTAAAAATAATTGAAATTTTGACAAGAATTTAAAAAAAATTTTGAACATAATTGAATTTTTGCGAAGAATTTTATTACTTTTATAGAAATAATTAACTTCCTGCAATCATTTGTAATTTCTCTAAAATTCTCAAAACTATATTGTACAATTTACGAACTTTTCTTCCTTTTTAAATGAAATAAAAATAAGTTTTTAAAACTACATATATGTTACAAAATTTAATAATTAATCCTTATAAGTTTTCCATATGAATTAAGATTTTCATAAATTTCAAATTAAAACCTTTCTAAAATTAAAAAATTTATAATAATATTAAAAATTACGGACTGATGGAATCATTAGTTCATATTATAAAATACTGTTACTGTAACTCCTTCAAAATAACTTTCATCAGTTGAATTCAATTATTGTTTTCCGGAATTTTTTACTAAAATTCTTCTTTAAATTAATTGTTTTTAATAATTTTTTAAAAAAAATGATTGAAAATTTTCAAATTCTTTTGTTTGCAATTTAATTTTATGAAATTTCATCGATTATTCTGAAATTGTTCAATCAAATATGTATTAGAAAATAAAAACTTCAAATAACTTAAAAAAATTCAATTAAACTTTTTAAGAAAATATT